TTGTAGACCTTCAATCGACCTATCGAAAAGTATATAATTCAAAGTGAACCACTGCTGTCATAATATCATAACTAGGAAATCCTTTCATAGATACGATCATCCTATAAATACGAGTGAAAGGTGTCACCTAAAGAAAAAATCAGAAAGACGAATATCTTGTCACACTCCTGTATGTCGTTCTCTAGCGGGCAACAATTAGCTGTCATTTGTTACAGAAGTAATAATTAAAAGAGCTAAAACTAGAAGAAAAACTTTTCATTTGGTGACTTATTCGAACGATTGACAACGTCTGTGATCTAAATGGACTATTTAGTGAACAGAAAACTCGACTTCGAGAGAGGAGCGATTTTGTCGATTATCAAACCCTTGTCTTCATCTTTCAGTTGTGTATTGATGGCTTATACATAGAAATAATTATGATTCTGTGAGAGAAGGTATTACTTAGTATCGAAAATCGATATCTATCGCCACTTTTCAGTGTAATATATTGATCAGAACTGCAAAGATACTTATAAAATGTCGCGCAAGTGAAGAGTTGTCAATGTGTTTTCAGCGAAAAAAACAGTCGTATGTCTTTTTGATACTGAATAAAATTCTTAAAATGTATATTTGACATTCTGACTTATTCAAGTAAATAACGATTACATAGCTCAGCTTTACTATATGCTTCTTTCGATGTAATATATGTATGCTTTAATTTATACTTATGTATGAACTTAAATTAAGGCCTTTTTTAGTGAGCATACGAATTCGAAGAACACAATTACATCATGACTATGGGCGTGTTTGTGAATCCTCTCTTGCCCCACCTCTGCATCCACGTAAAGTGTTGTTTCTAAGATGGAAGTTCCCCAACATCAAGACTCTTCTTTCCACTATGTAGGTGCACGCGATTATATTCTATACGTCTGCTTGATACATGCATCTTCAGTTCATGACGGAATTCATCTGTCAAAGAAATAAATAAGAAAAGAAATCCCACACTAATAATGAAAACTAAAATACTGCAAGTTCAAAATTTTTCTATTAATAAAATGTTATTTTCTCTTCTTAAATTGTATTACTCGCTTTTTTTGTCTTTTATTTCATCTTTAAATTTGGTTTTATAATGACGAATAGGGAAAAGTAAATCAATTCATCGACATCATTTGAAATGAAAGAGAAAAAGAATAAAGCATCGACCGATAACGCAAAGAAAAGAAAAGATGAAAATAAGAAAATCAATCGAAATTGTCTTGAAAGATTTTAACATGTCGTGAATAATACGATGCTATTCTATAGAATCTAAGAATATGAATAATTTCTTTATATTCAAAGCAAATATATTACATTAATATAAAAATATATATTAAGTAGACTGTCACTTTCCAAAGTTAAAAAATTTGTCTAGAATGATTTCTTAAACACTCTCGTAAACAACAGGAACTATTTGTAAATGAAAAGAAGAAACAATGAAGAGAATGTTTTAGATTGAAGAAAGAATCAATGTTGAAAATAATAAAAAAAATTAAATCTTTAAGATCGATTCAACATAGTTGAAGATTTAATATGACTAATATTCGAATTAATTGAACCATTTTATCTTATCGATCTATCACGTCAGGATTTAGAAAAAATTCGTTCAAATCCTCAACCCAAAACAAAACTAACTTGTAATTAACATTCATCTAAATTAAATGAAAATTGTGCATTAGCTATTTCTCGATTAGTTGATAATCCAAAAACTCAAATACAATAAAATATGAAACAGATGTATCGACTCTCAATCCTATTGTAGACTCATATAGTCAGTCAATGATGAAAAATAAGTGCAAAAAAATTAAATTTTAATTTTCAGTCTTTAAACTAAAGCGATCAAGAAAGATTTTCTTTTTGTTTAAAGTTGAATATCAAAAGACCTATCAGACCTTTGAAACAAAATTGAAAAAAATTGAATACTAATGTGCATGACTGCCTTCATCCAGATTGCAAAGTTCGTGACATTTATCGTGTGCTTTACTTTCGAAATGTTTTTTTTGTAAAAGTGAATACTCTTCATCGTGTCTCATTCCATCTTAATTTTTCTTTTCTTAGAGAAAAAAAATGAACATAGCAACGCATAACAAAACAAAAGTACAATCGTCTCCTTACGTTGGACAACTCATCTGATTACGTAGACGTTCGACATCAGTTTTCTATCACAGGTAACTATAAACGAAGTAAATGTGAATGCGACGTATAGTCATATAATCAGAACTACGTATCTGATATTTTGTTATTGAAAAATAAGTTTTTTCATAGATAGATATATGTAACTACATTTTAATACTATCAATATTCATTGCTATATTGTACACTGTTCATATAGCAAAAAATTACTATTTATTTTGAATCAAAATTGTAAAATAAAAATATGAGGCAAAATAAGAAATGAGGCTAAATCGAGTTCCTAAGAACAGTCTCGAATCTCGAAAAATTCCGTTTGTTCTGTCCGATGAGACATCCAGGATCTGAACATTTTGAAAATAAAACAGGACGCGACAAACGAGATTTGGGACTTGAAGAAAAGGGTGTTTCTCAGAATTTTAAGAATAAATAAAAAAGCTTGTTAGCACAGCTCCCTTGAAGCTGAAATGTGGAACTCACATATCTTCTTTAGTTTCATGATACCAATGATAAAATACAATATTTTAATTCCCTAAAAGTCGATAGATTTTTTCTAATGATAATCGATTATCAGCAAATGCTGTCTTCTTTTATTTTTGTACTTCGAACAGAAATTTTTTCTTTTTTGTTTGATGGCGTTGCTATGGTCTGTAATGCGAAGTGTGTATGTGTCTGTAAGGGACTTCTGTTACTAAATGTCTGTAATAGGGTAAGAAGAAGAAGGGAAGCCACAAAAACTTGAACGTTAAAACTTACTATTTTTTTCAAATATATATATGAGTTACACAAAATTTAAAACGATTTTATCTGTATGATATTAAGTAATAGAATATGATTCAATATATTTATTATACAAAAACATTATTTGTAATTTTATGTCATGAAAATGAAAACGGTACATTATTATTAAAGTAGTCAGAAATAAACTAACTACCCATGCTGTCCTTGGAAATGGTCGGTTTTTTTCAGCCGGATCGATCAGCTGAGATTGTTGACGCAACCGGCGAAAAATCGATGTGCTTAGTACATAAGTTAAGCAATAGTTCTTGAAGTTTTCTCATAATAGCAACTCAAATTTCAGCCTGTCACGTTTTTTTTTAACATTGAGAAGTTAATAGTTCCTTTGATAGGTTAACAAAAAAATTACGTCAATGTATTTAGTTTTCAGGAAAAAAATGAAGAATAAATAATAGCATATTTAAGTTTGATGAAATACAAATTATAGTCGCTAAGTAACATAAATGTGATGAAGCATTATGGTGGCCAGAGAAGAAAAGAAATGGTTGGTGAGATCAGCAACTTATTGTAAGATAAGTATGTTTGTGACTCATTACAATGTATATTACTCCCTCACGTCTCATATGCACTAGCATTGATAAAGAACGTAGAACGTTTTCAAAAGGTTTCATCTACACTAGTTATTCACAACAACTAGTACTTTAGCTTTAATTTAAAATTTGAAATGCAATTAGTTAATTTACAATCAAAGTTCAAGTTAAGTAGCTCAATTTAATTTTGATAATTTTTTATCAGATTATAATTCTCAACCGTGTTTTAGTCTCATTTGAATTCTATAAAACTTAATTTTAAACCAAAATAATGTAAATTAGAGTAAGTAAATTGAAAAGTTGATGTTTTGTCCATAGCAATTGTTAGCACAGTTTCGCTTGGATATTTCCGTTTTTTTTTATTTAGTTTAAACACTTTTATATAATGAAAGGATGAAAAACTAAAGAGAGCATCCTTATTTTAACTTCAAATTTGAATTTAATGTTGAAGTTAAAGTGCTGCATCTAACGCATATTCTGCACAAAGATAGAATTGCTTTATGAAAAATATCGTGATGATATGGACTAAAATTATATGATTTTAATATTGTTGATGAATGAATGTTCTGTACATGTTAAAGCCATATACGCGTTCGCATATTTATATCTTACAGGTTAACTACATCTTTATTAAAATGAAAGATCGACATATATGCTAAACCGTTTCCTCATATAAATACACTTGTTCCCATATGTTTTATACAGACACTAGTAAACTACATGTTAAAATTATTCATTATTAAAAGAAATCATTAAGATCACGAATACAATAAAGTTTGACCATTCCTTTCTAAATAACTTATGTATAACAAAATTTTAATACAGTTTGTGAAGAAAAGCACATGGTGGATTTGCTACTAAGGTCCTATTTGTATTTACACCGATGAAATAATCTGAAGCAGTGATGAGAACAAATGAATTTAAAGCGAGAAACAAGCTTTAATGCATGTTAATGATGTAATGAGGAATGACAAACTGCATACATAAGGGTAATTCAACGTCAAAAGTAGCAAAGAATGTATATAACAAGTGTATGTGATTACATAGTTTTGATGGAAAGTGTACTGTCACATTCAACTTAACAATCTTAAAACGTATAAGTAGAGTCAGATATAAAAAGCGAAAGCATTCGCCTTCAATCACATATCATAGCTAATCTGAACTTGTATGAATGCCTCTTATTTCGAAAACTTGTTCGAATATAGAGACGATGTAAAACGCATTTGAAAAAAACTTCAATGAGTGCATTTTTACATCATTGAACTTTATTTCAATGTGAGTCACCTTTGAACATCGTCATTTGCAACAAAAATGCTGTTAGACGAGTCTAAAATGCGTTTTATGATTACTTGGATACAAATATAAAATATATTTAATCATTTACTCACGACTTAATTGATCAACAGTCACTATTCAGCGAGTGTTAT